CTTTCAACTTGATTAATTTCAATGTATTCAAGGTGTCTTTTTTTTTTTTTTAATCTTTCACAGAAATCGAAACGTCACGACAGAGACAATTGGGGAGATCGCGTGTCTACGGGAAATATTAAAATTAAAAGCTGGACGGTTTGAGTTATTGAGCGAATAATCGAGTAACGCTGATAATTAAGTGTAACAATATATATTCTCGCGTCGTTTCTCGAGGTACGTGCTATTTCCTACGTTTGAAAATTTGGAATTAAAAGGAAATTTGTAGAGCTAGAATAGCAAGCAGATTCTTGAATTGAAATTCCCCTACAAAGAATCAGAATGTTAAAGATAAGATATCGATCCAAATTCACAAGTTCCTACGATGAACTACAATGAACTTTAAAAAAGTTAGAGAAAAGAATCTCTTCTACGCGAGTGCAGATATTTAATTCCCATCCTTTGTAATAATTTCTCATCGTTTAAACTTTAAATCGTCCATCGTTCGCTTCCTCGTGAACGTGTCGTACAGTCGATAGAATCGACAACTCTGAAATCGTCATAAAATCGATCGATAAATCGCGTCGACGATTTCCACGGGGACTTTTCGATCGCATACATCATCGATATACAAACGATCATAGTCGAACTATTGTGCAACGAGTAACGAGACCGGTGTATCGAGTAACGAGAACCACGTTTCGCCAACCGCAGAGGCTTTCCAGGCTGAGGATCTTTTTCTCTTCAGATCGAATTGCCGCTGGCCGACTCTCTTCTTCGAATTTATCCATCCAAGAAATAAAGAAACGCTTGCACACGTTTCTAATCATCTTTCGAAATCGATAACAAGTCTCCGGTGTTGCGTTCTATCGGTGAAATTAGAGAACGTGTTCGTTAAAACTGAAACTGAAGCGTTTTGTTCGCTTGTAATTCTATCACAGATTAATTTTGCAATAAATAATTTGATAATTTATATGACAATCTGGAGGTATACGTATTTTCTCGATAATTTTCGATAAAATTATTACAAACGACGTTAATTGCAATTAATTATAACGTGCAACGACAAATTGAAATTAAGCAACCTGATCTTTGATCTTTTACTCGTTGTAAAAAGAGAACGCAAGGCGGATAGAAATATCCTAAATTTTTAAACGTGAATTTAAATGTTCTCTGAATTAATAAAAATCACGGGTAAGATTGAAAAGGAACTTCGTCCATTTTCTTAATAGAGGCAGTAGCTGGGGACGGGATTTTAATGCGATTGCTGGATGAAAGGAATTCTAATATCGTGCTTGAATTTTGTTTCAAACATTTCGTAACTTTGTTTCCGCGAGCTGGATCTCTCTTCGAACTTCTTGGCTTCGTTCCACGAAACGCGACCAGCGAATTTTTCTAACTCGACAGATTCACCAAAATTATACGCGGACGTTGAAAACAATTATTAAATTATACAACGAAGTACGAAAGATTGCACGGAAATGGTAAGTT